CCCCAAAACCCCAAAACCCCAAAACCCCATGTCTCTAACCCTCGTTGAATTACTCTCTTCATATTACTACTAGCAGTGCTCTTCTTTGCTAACTGCTTTAAAGAGCCAGCACAGTGCTTTACCTCACTGAGGCTCTTAATTTCATCAGGTTTCGAATCTCAAGCTAAAGCTAAATCATCTTGTCGCCACTATGTGCTTCTTTAACTTAAAGAAAAATTGATTTCCTGATGGAATAGCAAGGTTTCCACTATCTTTAGCAAGATTTTCAAGAGATTTTCAGCTGAAATTTCAGAAAATCCTACTTTTAAAACAGAACTCAGTCTTTCTTTCACTAGCTTTGACATATTCTTCGTTTAAAGAGGTGCTAAAGTCAGCTTGGAAGGAGGGGCTTCTTGTATCTTGCTTTATTTCAACAAGTTGGAAATACTTTAATTACTACCAAAATAAGCAAGATACATGAAGTCTGGACCTAGTCAGCTGCTTAGGATTAAGAATTTTAATGAAATAGAAGGGATGAGTTAGGGTGGCTCAAGGCTGAGGCTGGTTTTTTAGAAAGTTTAAGGTAATTGGAAGAGGTAAAAGAAAAGGGCCTAAACTATCCTCTGATCTATATGGCTGAGTTAGAAAGGGATATAATAGATTCTCAATCCATATTTGTGATACTTAACTTCTTTGTGATCACTATGTGCTTACTGAAAACTGTGCTCGCGGATTAAACTTTGAATTTAGTGACTTCTGGGACCCAACAGTTGAATCTTATTTATAAGATACCTCAGGATGGAGAGGTGATGAGAGTGCAGGCCCAGGTGATCCTTGACTCTATACTTGAGAAAGACAATGTAGCCACAGCTATCTGCGTCAACACTGGAAGTTCCACCTTTACAATGACTGATGGAGCCACTGCAAAAGTATTCGGGATTATGTTTACTTGTGCAGTCGATGGAGGATGCTCTGATTCCTTAAATGTGGGAGTGACTTTCTTTGGAAGTACTATGGAGTATTCCTCCAACAACTGGATATGGAAGTCACTTAGAAAGTTTGATACACTCCCATGAATATCGGTACAAATGTTGGAAATGGGACTCATGTTACTTCGACTCATGGGTTACCTTCAAGTTAAGCAACTAACTCTAACATACCACTTCAAGATGTCATTGCTTACTTAAAATGCTTCGGAGCCTTCAACGTTCCTATTGGGTCTGCCTACATTGTCGTTGATGTAACAACCACATCATGAGCAAGTCAGACTGATACTGTGATTGTCACAGCGGATGATCTGAAAAGCTCTGGAGCTTTCCATCAATTCTCTCTTTTCAGAGAGGGATTAATTTTAGGGTAGATCTATTTACTATCTTTTATTGTTTAATCCTCCAAAATAGCTGAGTCTATTCAATCAGTTTGATTCAAATTGGGGTTTTGGGGTTTTGGGGTTTTGGGG